GACTCTCCATTTTCAAAGCAACTCTAAACTCGAGGCTCATCTTTTCCATAAGGTACCAAAAGCCCATCGAGCATATTTCGTCCTTACTAATCTTACCAATACTAGGAGAAGGCTCGACGCCGACGCCGTTCGTTTGTCTGACCGTTTTGATGACCTGGATGCACAAACGAAACTGATACTCGTCACTGTGCTGAAAAATCACAGTGATTTTCCCCGGGAAATTATGCGCTCCATCTCAAAATTGGTCTGTCGTCTTCAAGCTTTAAACCAGGACGAGCATCATACAACCCGTCAGATGATCACGGAGCTACGGAATTCTCACTACAATGTAGCTGGAATGGATCCAATGGAATCAATCACAGCTAGAATTGAGATGCTTGATGTTGGAAACTAGGAAGAGCAAAGATTACGACGCTCTATTCAGAAGAATATACTGCAGAATTTGCATTATCCGGCCATGACATACCGCTATGAGGATATATTACAAGCTCATCCAAAGACCTTTGACTGGATATTTGCCAGTACGACAACACGACAGCTACAATGGAGCGATTTTACTAATTGGCTACGAAATGAGTGGGGGGTATACTGGATCAATGGTAAAGCAGTTCTGGCAAGTCAACCTTATTGAAGCACATTTATGACGACTGTCGTACCAGGACTTATTTGCAACAATTGGTCCAGGATTAATTACGAACTGAGGAAGATATCAGGGTCTGCCTTGCCACTTTTTTCTTCTGGAACTGCGGTACTGAAATGCAAAAGAGCCAGCTAGGGCTACTTCGCTCCCTCGTTTTCCAGGTGCTTGGAAAATACCCAGACCTTATTCTCATATGTTTTCCAACTCGTTGGGCAAAGATGTATTCTGGATCCTTAGATCTTGGTCAAGAGGTTGCTGGTCAGCCATGGTCTGTTCGCGAGCTCTCCAGTGCTTTTCAAAAATTGATTTGCCAGAAAGAGGCCCCGGTAAAGCTCTATTTCTTCATCGATGGATTAGACGAATTTGGCGGCGAAACTCGGAGTTTTACACTCTCTTGCAAGAAACTTCTTGCTTGAACCCATATAACGCCAAATTCTGCGTTTCCAGTCGACTTTGGGTAGAATGTCAAGATACTTTTCAAGGCGCTGCGACCTTGAGATTGCAAGATTTGACCTTTAATGACATAATAATATATGTCAACGACAAATTTCGTCAGAACCAAGCCTTTCGAAAGCTAGATCCTCAAGATCTAGGGCTTGTTTCCCCCCTCATAAACGAGACGGTGGAAAAGGCGGAGGGTTTATTCCTGTGGGTGCAAGTGGTTGTTCGACTACTTCTGACTGGAATGTCTAAGAGAGATTCGGTGACGCAACTTTGGATGCGGCTTAGATCCTTTCCTAAAGATCTTAATCCTCTATATACTTGGGTATTGTCCCAAATTGATCCCATATATCTCGAATGGACATCTAGAGCATTCCAGGTCATAATCGCATTTACACACCTCTCGTCTGATCCTTTCAGAAGACAATCCTTGCCCCCGTCCGCGTCTCCATCAACTACTGTCGACATCTTTGGCAACGGGGTCGGAGTGTCCCGGCTAAGCTTGCTTGAGTTTCGCTTTGCCTTAGAAGAAATTCCTGGACCAGGCGCTCTAGAGGTTCTGTCTCTGCCTCAGCTACTTTCGATGTTCGAAGAAACCGAAGTGCATCTCACAGCTAGATGTGCTGGCCTCCTCGAAGTATCAGATTCTGAAAACCTTGAGGGGATCCGTTCTTCATTCAGTCATCCGCTGGATGCATCGAACAGCCCGCGACTTTCTGTGTGAAAGTACAATGTGGACGAAGATCGTAGCCGATGACTGTTCCCGGGAGCCATCAGTGTGCTTTACGCTCATGAAATCCTGCATTAATTCCTTGTGTGTATGGACTAGTCAAAATATCAACGCGGCAAGTCATGAGATACCAGGCTATGCTACGGAAGTCGCCATTGTTTCACATGGTGGAATATATGCCTATCGGTATTCTCATGGGGCTACCCTCGCTTCGAATGCTCTGATATATGCCTATCATGTCGATGGCGATTGAACCACCCGAAAAAGCAGGTCTGAACTCCTCGCAACGCTCTTGGATATTGATATTCCGTTCCGCTATTCATCCTTGAGGCCGCAGTGGGACTCGCCCTTGCATCGAGCGGCATCGTACTGTCTGTCAGATTTCGTGGAAGATGTTCTTTCGGAAGAAGCTCGATTCACTCGACATAAGTCGTCAGAAGAGTTGCTACATCTACTGTGTAGCCCCACACGGTACTCGTCATCGCTCTATTCCTTTCCGACACAAAAATTTCTCAATTGCTTACTCATGATGAGTAACTTTGCTCCAAGAACTACCTCTGGCGTGGCAGTTACGGAAAGCCGGTCAAGATTACCTAGAGTCATCGAAATATTTCATAATGGCTCGGTATCAAGTTAGTACATCTCGACGCTTGAAGTACCTCTGTTTGTTGAGAGTCAACTCTCCATTATTGATGCATTTTTACAAGCTGGCGTAGTGTCAGTTGAAGAGTCGTAATGAGTGGAGATGCCTAAAGGGAAACGTCATATATTGGCATAAAGCCACGTTATCGATGACTCACTTGTTTACTAGGTAGTTTTGCCTGATCGAAATGAGTCAGTGAGAGCACTTTATTAGGGAGATATCCTCACTTAGTTAAAAGTGTAAATTTGATATTAATACTATTCCTTTTGCCCTGGCCACCTCCGCAACTGATACGTGGACCCGACGCAGACCTCGGCTTTTGTACCGATGGATTTTGTCTTTTTAAAAAATGGCATGAAAGACACAATTGAAATGGTTGCCTTAAGGTCAGGGGCAGAGATTTCGACTAATCCGCCCGTGAGCATGAACATGATCCTCGCGAAAATCAAACAAGCTTTGATTGATGAGGTTCGTACTCAACGGAATGGCCAACATTCCGCGAAGAAAAGAAAAAGAGCGGTTGCACCGGCGGACAATGTCATACTTCTCTCGGATGACTCAGATTTTGAAGATGTGATATTCATGCGTGAGAGATCTGTAGATCGGGAGAAAATGGTCAAAGTGAGTGAAGATGACTGAGATAAAGTCCGAGATGTCCGTTGGGAGAGATTTTTCAGGCTAGCAGAAAGCGAGAAAGCCTACCTCAAAGCCCATTAGCGACGAAAAGGCTTACAAGTGGTCTAGTTGGATGTGTACCATGATTGGAGTCATAGGAATCCGCGCAACAGGCAGTTCGATATCGGAATCTCAACATAAGCATTTTCCATTTCCGCCTTTAGACTTGAGCTGTGGCTACTATAGCCTGAGCTGTATCGTCCTTCTGAAAACCTCCGACTCAACAATGGACCGAATGGATGAAGAGGCTGAAATGTTCGGACCGCCGAAATACTTCGTGAACGGCTTCCTGTTCAGCGTGCATGACGACAACTCCCAGCTCGAGGTGCGTCGCTATGGCAAATGTTTCTACATCACAATGGCGCGCGAGAACTTTGTCGATTCACCTTCCATCACGCAACAATACCTCGATTACCTAGCTGCGGAAAGATCCGACGTAACTGATGACGATACCATGGTCGAGGACTACAATCCAGAGGACTTCTATGCTTGGGCCCTCGATCCGTGTCTTCCACTCTTCGAAAATTTAGCTCCAACCCCAAAGCAGAACCTCAAGATCACTCTTCATGATTTTCTCCACCCAGAGGTTTTCTGCTTCTCGCTGCGCGCAGTCGATGGGGAATTGACCCCGGTACAGAGTGAAGGAATACGGCATGCGAGGGTGCCCCCAGGTTTCGAGTTAGATGATTCAGCATTCTCGCCAGCATGGCCCTCATTCCTGCCGACGGAAATTGAAATCTGCATTACGAACCCCGAAGATGCCATTTCTGCCTCCCCCAACAAAGTTCTCGTTGACGGCAAGACGATTTGCTTCTTCAAGCGGTACCGGTCCGGCGACACAGATATCGCTCTCCGCGAACTCGAGAACTACAAACGGATCACGGAGTCCAATCTAGATCCTGATGTACGCATTTGTCGTCTTCTCGGTGTTGTTAAGGATGAAGAAAACCTGTTTTTTGGGCTACTATTGACATATGTTGAGTGCGACTTTCAAACTTTGGCCTGTGCTGCGGGACCCGACACTCCGACTTCCGCCAAACAGAAGTGGGTGAATCAAGTGACGGGTATCTTGACGCAGTTACATAAAGCTGGGATTGTCTGGGGTGATGCCAAACCAGATAATGTATTAATCGACAAGAATGATGACGCGTGGATTATTGATTTTGGTGGAGGGCATACTCGAGGATTTGTGGAGAGAGAGAAAGCTGGAACTATAGAGGGAGATTTGCAAGGATTAGAGAAGACCGTCGAGTATGTTTTCAGCAAGAGAGCAGAGTAGGGGTCTGTCTTTACGCGCTATTTGTTATTGTAGTCAACAAACAATACTAAGTGCATCAATTCAATGCTGATCATCTCCGCTGTCTAATGTCTGCATTAACCAGCAAGCCCGTGGCCGGTGTCGCTCGTGAGCAAGCACCTGGGTATCGCGCATTACACGTCCAAAATTGACGAACACATCGTGTGCTTCCAAGGTTCATTCGTATACTGAGACTGAAGGTTTAATCGTCACAACGAGCGGTTGCTTGATAACAAGCTTTTACAATACAATATTGAGAGACTCATCGCTCCACGCTACAGAGAAGAAAAGAGTTGCTCCATTCCCACCTCAGAGCTTTCCGACCTCAGTTATGCTTCCGTGTATCGTGCACTTTCCCTCGACAATAAGCCCACTACCCTTCTGCATCTTGACTAAAATATATATATAATTATTATAATATTAATGACTTTTGGCGGGCGGTAGGGATTTCTCTGCCACGGCAGAACCAGGCCACGTGATAGAGTTTGGCGGTAGCGAGGCAAAACCCCGGGTAGTTACTTTTTGGAATGGTGGAGTTGATAGGTTTAGTTAAGCAAATGCATACAACACAACAGGACAGATGGCCGAGTTGGTAAGCCACGATTTCCGATATTGAATATACAATACTAACATTCATAGGTTATGGCGCCAGGTTAAGGTCTTCTTAGCACAAATTTCCTGGTCACGAAAGTGGCGTGGGTTCGAGTCCCACTCTGTTCAAATTCAACTTTTTTTTTTTGAAAATTGTTGATAACCGAGAACCTTTCGGCTCTCTGGTACGGAAGGGGTTGCCATAATTGATGCAGCCGATAAAATTCTTTGTTCCTTTGCAGCTATACTAGTTCTAGCTTAAAATCTACGAAAATGATACTCAAATGTAGCTAGGTTTCAACTCTTTGATTATCTGGAACTTTATCGTTCAAAATATATCATTTTATTGTGGTTTACAAGGTCTCGAGGACCCTTGTCGGTTGCGTCAATTATGGCAACCCCCTCCGTACGGAAGGAGCTGGACAGGATTGATGCAACAGACAGACAGGGGTTTAGGCGGTGGGTACTTTTGGAGCATTTCATTGGTGATTCTACTTCCTACTTTCTTCCTCTTCTCGGGTAACGTGAGTGACAGAATCATCCTCTGTTTGTTGCATCAATTCTGTCCACCCCTTCCGTACCTTCGTACTTTTTATGCGCTTAAGTAAAGCTGACACAGAGTAAACGACCTTCTCTTGCAGCCTGGTCCCACGGTTGTGAAATTTAGCAATTGTGTATCACGTCGGTAGGAAACGAAGGCGTGGGCCTTTGCAGCAGGAAAAAGTTACCGAGATTGGTATCCTCAAACACAGTATTCACGTACCACGACTCAACCATTTCTATTTCCATAAACACTCTCGAGTACGAAGGTAGGACCTTCCGTACAGCATGTCGTACAAGGCTACGCTCCCAGGCAGACTTTGCTGCAACATGATTGGCCACCTGATGGTTCACTGGAGTATGTAAGCAACCCCACCTGCACTGGCTGGCGGTATGGGAGCAGCATCTGCAACTTTTCACTTCAACAGCACCCCGGGTTGTCTCAGAGCTCCGGAATTACCAACACTTACCGAGATCAACCTAATTAGCCATGGAAGGTTCCAAAACCACTATTCGTCGCTCAGTTTATTACAATCCCGCAGCAAAATCCTACAGAGCACCCGAAACGAAGGACAATTCTGCTGAGATCAAAGCATTCTATGCAAGTCTCCCAGATTACGCCCCCACGAAGCTCGTTCCTCTTCCAAAATTAGCAAAAGAGCTCGGTGTCAAGAGTGTCTACGTCAAAGCCGAGACTTCTCGTCTCGGCCTTCCGTCTTTCAAGCTCCTGGGTGCATCATGGGCAGTTCGTCAAGCAATCATTCATCACGCAAAATTGCCTTCAAATGCATCGCTAGATGATCTAAGAACTGCAGTGCAAGATCACGGGATCAATCTCTGTGCAGCAACAGACGGCAACCATGGTCGATCTGTGGCCTTCATGGGGCGAATGCTTGGCGTGAAACAGACAAAAGTATTCGTACCAAGAGGCCTTGATGAGAAGATAATCGCATCTATCGCCAATGAAGGAGCAGAAGTCGTTGTTGCGAACGGAGATTATGACGAGACGGTCAGAACTGCCCATCGGTTTGGAGAGAAGACTGAGGGATTCATGCTCATCGAAGCTGTCGCTTATGAAGGGTATGAGGATGTTCCAAGGGTATGCCTCCGTCACCTTCAACGGAGGTGCTGATATACTGATGTGTATGAAGTGGGCAGTCGAAGGCTACACGACCATGCTTCATGAGGTCGATGCTCAACTTCAAGTTCACAATGAAGTAGCAAGCATGGTCATCGCTCCTGTTGGAGTAGGCTCACTCACTCAAGCCATCATCTCTTACTATAAATCTCCCAACAAGACCTCGAAACCACCCTCGATTGTGACGATCGAGCCCGATACGGCAGCAACTTTGTACAAGAGTCTCAAGGCCGACCAGTCTCTTTCTATCAATACCAGTCCCACAATCATGGCTGGACTAGAATGCGGAACCCTCTCAAGTATTGCTTGGACACTGCTAAAAGATGGAGTCGATGCCAGTGCCACCATCTCGGATCTGGAATGCCATGAGGCCATTCTTTATTTGGCCAAGAATGACGTTGGTGCTGGGCCTTGTGGTGCTGCTGCTTTAGCAGGACTCAGGAGGATGACTATCGATGCGTCAAGGAAAGGTTTGCTAGATGAATCCTCAGTGGTCGTCTGCATCTGCACAGAGGGCACCAGACCATATGAAATCCCCATACCTGTTGAGGATGACAAGGTCAAGCTTTGGCATGCGCTCACCTGGGTACATAAGCAGAGTCCTTTCTCTGACGATGAGAAGATCTGCACAGGCGAAGTGTCGAGGTCGGACATCAAGACTGCCACTATGATCATGAATTACGCAGCGCAATGGCTCGAGTATAGAGACATTGGTATTCAATGGCTAAATGCTGGCACACCGCACTCTGTGTTGTTAGCTAGCGTGACGGGTCGTGGTACTTACGAAGGAGAGGAAAGAGACGAAAAGAAGAGGAAATCATTACTCCTCGTCACTCTCCTGTTAGACACTGACGGCTGGCTCCGAAGGTGGACATCCAAATACATGCCCCTGACCTCGAATCTCCTCACTCTCTCACAGCTCAACTCCTCAGTGAGGTTTGGCGTTAATATCACGGTAGCTATCATCCTCACTCCTAGCCAAACAGCAATTAAGTCGATTCTCGGTACTTTGGGGCCAGTGGATGGCGCAATCATTGTCGACGCTGCATTCGAAGATCTTGCCACAAGCAAGCTGGACCAGAAAAGCAATTTCGTCGACAGCGTCAAACAGAGTGTAGAGGGTTCGGTCAATGAGAAAGTGAGGCTGCAAGTCAGTGCTAAGAAGACTTTGTTGGAAGCAACGGGACTGCGCCTCTTGCTAGAAAGAGAAATTCCTGCTTGTGTTTTTGGACATCTGGGGAATCATGCTACGGACGCAGATCCAGAGCTCTCGATGGTCAACGCCCTCGTTAAAATTGCTGAGGATTGGTGTACCTGAGAACCGGTCGCGTGAAGAGAGTTTGGGCAACTCGAGGTCGAGCTAGACAAAGTTGTTAGGCTTGAGCTGGAAAGAGGACTGCACTCTTTCATTTTCATGGTGAGTCGGACCGTAGTGTAAACTCGGAGCTGAGAGCTTCCACTAACAATTCGAAGCACGGAATCAAAAGACATCTGCTAAGCCACGTGATAATACCACAAGCGCACTCATTGTCCCGGGTACAAAATTGTTAGAACAAGTTCGAATTGTCTGAAGGCGGACCAATAACCCAAGAGCCGCTTTCTAATTTCGCTCCACTAACCACTCTCATTCCGTCATTTTAGATCCCGCATTCTTCAACAGTGTCAAGTACCACACGACAAAACTCCAATCGACGCCGCCTTCCCAATTGCCGTCTTTCAGAGGGTGTTGACAGCTCTAGCAGCAGGAAGAAAAGTCTTGTCGGCCTCGATACTCAATCCTCCCACCAACGCATAAATCACGTTCCTTTCGTCAAGCTGTGCTCGGAGACCCTTCTTCCAATCCCAGCCGGGCTTCGTCTCATCGTCCACCATCGCCTGAATATTAGCGAAGCTATTCAAAATCGAGAGGTAAATCGCGATGTCAGCCAAAGCTTCACGCAGCTTCTCCGACGATGCTTTCTTGGCATCATTTTCCAGACCCTGATTCTCGTCTATTCTATGCGTTGCCCGCACAGCTTCTTGGGCTGCATTTCTCCTCTTGTACGCAATCTCGATTTCACGAGGTACAATTTCCGAACAACGACAAGTGTTCTCAACATCTGCCCTCGTGTGGCTTGGAACCATTTCGATTTCTTGAATTGGAGGATGTCCGTCCTAGTGTTGAGAGCTCTAGATCGGCTTCGTGCCTCTTTCTCTCTTCTTCGTTAGCAACTTAGCAGCTCGATTTGCGTATCGTAATGCGGTCTTGTCGATGCCTCCCGGTCCATAGACTGTTACTCCTCCACCGATGCCATGCTTCTGTATGACCATTAATGGTTGGCCGACGTAGAAGTTGATGTTGTACTTCCGAGCCCATTCCATTGCTTCCGGGACAACGGGTACTTCCCATACTGCTTCGGAGCGGGTTGGTTGGACGAAGAAGACATCGATGTTCGCCGTGCTGAAGGGGCGAGAGATGAATCTCGGCGCGTTGAACCGGGCCAACTTCAATATCACAAGATGTAAGACGAGCATAGAAGATTGCGGTCTAGCACACGCCATATATGGTCGTCCTCCTAAGTTGCTTCAAAGACGAATAGAGCTTCTTTACTTCTTCTTTATCAAAAGAAAATACTGCAAGCTCCCGGGTCACATCGCCGCTTCTTTAATGTTTGCAATTCTGAATACAATAATGCAGATTCATCAAGAACTATTAACTCCAAATAGCTTTTCTTCTTTCTTAAAAGCGGGACCTTTATCAGTAGCCATAAAATTTACCAATATTAACGAATGAGCCTTGGTGTACTTGATTGCGGGAGTGGAAATTGAGGATGGTTGCTAGAACGGACATCGGAACGCCTGTCATGATTTCTGATTCAACTTCTTTCATTTTCATGGCGAGTTTGACCTCAGTCACATCTCAACAACTGATCAACTGGAATGTATTGGCTAACCTATGACTGAGTCACTAGTACATCCCCTCAAGGTTCTACGCTCAACACGCTATCCTTGCTCCTAGAATCCATCAATTACGTCGTCTGATAGAATTTCAAGGTAGCCTCATTCAAAGAATTGCTAGCCACAACACTAAACCCCTAGATTAATTGACAAAGCACATGCCTCTCATCAAGCTGTGCCCTCAGTCCCACCTTCCAATCCCAGCCCGCTCTCGTCTCATCCTGCACCGTCTGCTCCAACTTTGACATGGCAGTCATGGCCGAGAGATACAATACAGTATAAGACAGCGCCTTGCACAATTCTCTCCCCACTGCACGCATCCCCCCATTAAAGCCATCTCATACCCGACCAGAGCTTCTAAAGGCTCCGAAACTGAAATTCTTCCTCTCATTCACGAGATCGATTTCATGAAGATAGAGCTTTCGTTGCGTAGCAAGCGTCCGAAGTTTTTGACCCCAGGTAAGCATGAACCACTTTATTGCGAGCGTCTCGAGATTGGTTCCGGTATCTGGCT